TTGGTGGAAGTGTTTGGGAAAGACTGCAAGCCATGGCCTTGCTGTAAGAGGTGTAGGAAGGCTTTGAGGTTTCAAAAGAGTTGCACTGTCTTAGTTACTTCGCTATTGTTGGGACAAAACTTCATGATCAAGGCAACTTATAATAGAAAGCATATAATTGGACTTACAGTTTCAGACAGTTAAGAGTCCATGACAGTGGAACAAAAACATGGGAACAGGAACAGCTGAGAGCTCATATGCTGATCTGCAAGGAGATAAAGAGAACACTGGGAATGACTACAATAGCTTGAAAACACAAAGTCATTCTCATCCAAATTACCACATTCCACTCATTCCTTCATAGGCCTACGGTCATAACTTTTCTTTCTTTCTTTCTTTCTTTCTTTCTTTCTTTCTTTCTTTCTTTCTTTCTTTCTTTCTTCCTTCCTTCCTTCCTTCCTTCCTTCCTTCCTTCCTCTTCCTTCCTTCCTTCCTTCCTTCCTTCCTTCCTTCCTTCCTTCCTTCCTCTTTCTTTCTTTCTTTCTTTCTTTCTTTCTTTCTTTCTTTCTTTCTTTCTTTCTCTCTTTTTTTCAGGCAAGGTTTCTCTGTGTAACATCCCTGGTTATCTTGGACTCACTTTGTAGACCAAGCTGGCCTTGAACTCACAGAGATGCACCTGCCTCTGCCTCTCCAAGTGCTTCACAAGCATGCACCACCATATCTGGCTTACCTGGCCATAACTTAATGCAAAATGAATTTAGTCTAACTTCAAAAGTCCCAAGAGTCTTTCTGTCTCAGTACTGTTTAATAGTAGAAAGTTCAAGGTATCTCTGACACTCAAGGCAATCTCTTAATTGTAACCCCTGTACAATAAAAAAAAAAAAGCCAATTACATACTTTCAACATACAGTGGCACAGAATGTACATTACCATTCCCAAAACAAGGAATTGGGGGCATAGTGAGGAAATACTGAACCAAAGCAAGATTGAAGTCAGTTGTGCAAAGTCTAAATCTTTAGAGGGCTCCACCCTTCTGGCTTTGCTAGTCATCAGGCTTTTCTTTCTTGGGCTGGTTCAGCTCCTTGTGTGGAGCTCTCCTTGACAGACATCCTATGGCTCTGGCATCTACAACATTTTGGGGTCTGCAACATAATTCCACGCTTCACTTTCAGAGCCTCATGCCTCCTTGCAAAGACTTACCTGTCCCATGCCTGGCCTGAAAAGTTCTCCTTAACCATGGAGGATCATTCCATAATCCCTTTATTCGTGCATCCTTCAGGACACTAAGTCAGAACCATGTAACAACACTGCCAAGGTGAACTCTAAATCCTTTGAGCCATATTTGCAACAGCTTTGATTTGTTGTTGCTTTTTAGAAACCAAGTTTCTTAGGACTTTTCTTTTCATAAATTGCAGGATCGTCTGGGTGGGATCTTGCCCTGAGGTCACTTCTCAATTCATTCTAATACAGGCTATGTGACAAGAGTCAGTATTGGGCTATCTATGAGTTTGTTCCACCATCATGGATTTTAACTCTTTGGAACTGTAATCACAATTAAACACATCTTTTTTGTAAGTTGCCTAGGTCACAGTGTTTTTTCACAGCCATAGAAAACTAAGACAGAACTAACAACTTTCTGATTCTATTTAATGTCTGCTCCAAAAGACAAAATTCATGCCTGGCACCATTAACAGAATAACATAGAGGCTATCTAGGTCATAGTAGGCCCTAGTGGAGAATCTACTGCTATTATTCTGCCAAGTGAGCATAGTATTAAACCAACATCTTAAAACTTTATACCCATAGAGATAAGTGCATCTCTGAACCCTCATCAGAGAAGATTTTCTGGCAGTAAATTATGGTGTCCAGAGACCCACAAGTGGACAATGTACTGAAAATTAGAAATTGCAGAATATTCAGCCCTAAATGAGACAGTTAAATCACACTTCTGTCACTCAAAGCTCAAGGATCATCTCAGAAGAGGAAGAAAAAAAAATATTATGAGACAAGGCTGTAGATGACTATAGCAAAAATGTTTTCTGGTAATTGCCCACGTGAACTGACATTGACAGTGACTTCATGAACAAGACCTGCACAAGATTAAGGCAGACAAAATCCTAGGGGGAAGAGGTCAGGAAGGCCCTCCCTTAACTGAGGCAATTGATGACTGTTGGCAGAATGAGAATCAGTTTTCTTCAGGGGTGTGGCTCCTGACAGGTTAAGTGTGCATGTACAAAATCCTTAATTATTAATAAATAAAACCTAGAAATGGGTGGCTTAGTGGGTAAAGGCAGTGCCTGACTTGACAACCCGAGTTCAATCCCTGGAACACACATGGTGAAAAGAGTGCCAAACCACACAAGTTGTTCTTTGACTTCCACATGTGCTCCGCATCATGTGCATGAAAGACAACAACAACAAAAAACAAAAAAAACAAAACAAAAAAAAAACAACTAAATAATTGTAAAGCAAACAAAACTAAAAAAAAAGTAAACCTGGAAATGATGTCCAACATAGTACTCTTTTCCTCACACATACTTAAACTTTTCCAAAACTGTCAAGCTCTTAAAAGTTAGAGACTCAACTAAATTAAAACTATCCTTTTGGATGCCATTTTAACAGTTGAAGAGTCAACTAAATTGTTTAACTTGTCACAGCTAGAGATAGTAAATGTGCACAGGAAAAGATGTCTTGGTAGGTACAGGGGAAAAACTATTTATATATTTAGCAAGAAGAATGGACATTGTTGAGATGTTGAGATAACAATAGAATAAATTCATACAGAATTTGTTTCATGTTCCATGATTTTAGCACCTGGCGTCTTCTGCAATAGAATCTTACCATCAAGGTTCAGAGAGAAAAAAGGAGCATTGACAATACCATGTAATGTTAGAGATTTTATTTATCTTTGTTTGTTTTATTTAAGAGAGTTTCAGATTATTTTTTCTATATAACTCAATCAGACCTGAATTCACAATCTTCCTGCCTTGGCTTACACTGCAGAGGTCATGTTTTTAATGTAGCTGACAGATTAAAGGGAATGTTTGGGTGGGAGGGGGAGGCTTTTTGAACTTTCACCAGTTCAGGGTTTTGAACAACCAATGAGTCATTTCTTTGGTTAAATAAACTCCACTAAATTTAATTTGCCTTATGTCTTTAAAATTTCAACAAGCTTGACTAAAGAATAAATGGTATTAAATAATTTTTAACAACAAAACAATAAAGAAACTATCCAAAAGTTCTTTGCAATTCTTCATCATAGGACCAACAAGATGGATCATGAGGGTAACGGAGCTTGCTGTGAAGCCTGAAAACTTGAGTTTAACCATGGGACCCACATGGTGAAAAGACTAGACTGACTTCCTCCAGTTGCTCCTTAGCTTCAAATGTGGGCCATAGCACACATACACACAAAACAAACGAATACACACATAAAGTCTCATTTTATAATCAGAAAGCCTAAATGCTGAGGTGTAAAATGACAGTTGTGTGTAATAATTTTAATTTGGAACAACTGAATTGTGGACACAAGCAAATGATCCTTGCTAAATAGAAAAAAAAATATTTTATTTGTATGTGTGTGCCAAAATAGAACGTTGGACCCATTGGAGCTGAAGTTACTGGTGATTGTGAGCCACCAGATGTGTGTAGTGGAAAATGAACCCTTGTTCTTTGCAAGAGCAGCAAATGTTCTTAACCACTGAGCAATTTCTTTAACCTCTATTTTCTTAAAATAAAATTATTACATACATTATATATGTATATGTATGTGCTCTATATATGTGCATATTATGTATATAATAAAGTATAGTATATATAATATCCTAATACTTAGTATATATTAGTAAATATAATACTGTTCTGTATATATATATGTATATATATATGTATGATATATATATATATATATATATATATATATATATATATATATATGTATGGTATATGTGTTTGTGTGTGTGAGACTATGCCTCATGCCTGTGGATGCCTGGTGAGACCAGAGGAAGGTGTGGAGTGCTCTGGCGCTGGAGCTCCAGGAGGTTGTAAAGCTGCTTGATGTGGGTGCTGAGAACTCAACTCAGGACTTCTGAATGCTCCAAACCATTCAGCCGTCTCTCTAGCCCCATTTTGCTATATTTTCAAATCAATTTCATAACTAGTATATTTCCCATACTTTGTAGAGTTGAATGATTGAAAGGATGTAATAGTATCTTGGAAGGGAAATTCAGGAGGTAAAGATTAGATGATTGTTATTTTTGCAGTTGTTATAATGCTGCCCTACATGTAGCAAGCGCCATGTATAAGGTTATTTAAAACAATTTCAGCTCTCATATGCATCATACTATGGTTGTTAGAATCTCCATAAGCCTTGAGAAGAAACGGAATCTTTTATTTTTGTCTAGTGCAGCTAAAACAGATAATCTGTAAAGAAATCAGACCTTGGGAGACAGAAAACCAACACAACTGAGGAATTTAATGAGTAAGGGAAGCTGAAAAGATGGCTCAGAGTTTAAGGGTGCTTGCTGCTGTTGCCGGGGACCCGATTTCCAATCCCAGCACCCACGCTGGGCAGCTTAAAACCGGCTTCAACTGCAGCTCCAGGAGATCCAGAGACCTCTTTGACCTCCACTCAGGTGAATGCACACATCCACATACCTACCCCATACACAAACGCACATAAAATTTTTTGTAAAGGAATGCCTGAGAATTACAGAGGTAAGAAAAAATTTGGACTGAATCAATATGAAAATTCTTTTCACTTGAATAATAGCCCAAACTACTAAAAAGTGATGCTTCAGTCTCCAAACTATTGGCTCTTTTCGAAATAAAGCGCCAGGGTTCCTGGACCAATGCCACGCAGGAAGATTTTGGGCCCCCCTGGAAACGCCCCGCCCCTTTGAAGGGTGGTTTATGAGCAAAGCTCTTACGCATGTGCCGTGCCCACAGGACCATTGGAGCAGCTGTCAAGCGCATGCGCAGCTCCTAATGGGCTACAAGATGCGGAAGAGCCGGACCCGTGGAGGCTCCCATTTATGAAGCGTGGGAGGCAAAAGAAGCAGCAGGTTATAGAATTCAGTTTGAGCTCCGTCGGGTTCCGCAGGTCATTAGAGCCAATAAGAGAAAGAAACAGCGCCGCAGTGGCGTAGAGGGCCAATCCCTTTTCCGAGTTCTGAAGGAAGGCGGGGACCAGGGAGCGAAAACCGCCATCCCTCCGCTGAGGGGCCCCGGGGGGTGGGGGGGTCCTGGAGCATGGCGGACCGGACCGAGACTCTGAGTATGTGGAGATGGAACTGCCCGAGGCCTCCTGGCCAGCTGTCAAGCCCTCATTGCTAGCGCTGCAAGGGCTGCCACAATAACTGTAGCTGAGCCGCGCTTGAGGTCCTAGGCGGGAAAAAAATGACAGCATGAGTTCTGCGGCCGCCTAGTTTACTCCCTTTTCTACTGTGTCTTCCTCTTCCACAAACTCCATCCTCCTCTTTTCCCGTCCCTGTGCTCCTCTTTCCGCTAACCTTTGTCTTCCTTTCCCACTTCGGTCCTCTTCCATTTATCTAATGCCCTGCATTTCCATCTATCCTTTATTAACCCCGGTGCCTCATTTTCCTTCTCCCGCCTTTGTCTTTCCTCCATCATCTTTTTCATCCTGTCTCCCTCCCAACACTAACTCTGCATCCTCCTCCGTCCCCAACTCCCCCTCCCAACACACACACACACACACACACACACACACACACACACACACACTTCCTCTTCTGCATCCTCCTCTTTTCTCCGCCCTCGCGCCCAAGCCTCCGCCCATTAGCCCCCGCCCCCAGCTGCCAGTCCTCAGCAGCTCAGTCCTGCAGTGAGTCCATAGCAAAGCACTCAGAGCTGAACACTGCTAACTGTGCGATCTAGCAAGTCTCCGAATGGCTCAGGAGAAAATGGAGCTGGATTTTGAGGCTGACACATCTGATGGGGGCACCATGAGACGGTCCAACAGTGCTCCCCTGATCCATGTGCTCAGGTGAGCTTGACTGGGGAGGACGGAGTGTGGGGTTCAGGGGTTTGTCCCTGGGCAAGAAGTCTTCCTTCCCGAAAGTGCCAGTTCGAGTTCATCTGGACTCCAAACTGAGGGGTTGGGGTCTTATTTTCTTCACAGTGACTTGGTTCCCTAGATGGAGGGAAAGTTTGACCTCACATCATGTTGGGAAAGGGGCCCTTCCTCTACCTGGGGACCGTGTTGTCCAGTTCTAAAAGAGAATATAGAAACCTTCTGGCTCTGCTGACAGGTTGCTTGCCCTGGCTAATTTCCATCAGGGCAAGTTAAGCTGAACCCCCTGATTTAGACTTGTAACTTGACACCTGTCTCTAAGAGCTGCTGTTTTTAAGCTGAGTTTAGGAACCCTGGCATTAACAGAGGTTTGCTTTAAGAAATCACAGTTTATCTAATAACTTGGGATTACATGGTGTGGTCATATCCTATTAAGTGATTTGGATTTGTTCGGTGTTTTCAGTTTTTAAAGCTGCAGTGAATAAAAAGAAAAAAAGGTGTGTGGCTAGATCAGTAAAACACAGGTTTGAGAAAATAATGGGGAAAAATCACTCCTTTAAATTTTAGTGACAGGATGTTGTCTTTTTATGTGAACAAGACACCAAGGAGTTTAAAGTAAAAGCTTGTGATAGTGAAGGCTGGTTGCACTCCTAATGAAACTATTGCATTTCACTTTTCTAAGTAGACAATTCATTTGAGGTAGATTTTGAGACTCCAGAGAAAGCATTAGTACAGAACAGAGGATGGGAGTAATATTAGCACCAAACATTTTTTTCGAGCACAGTTGAAGGCTTGATAATGCTTTGCCACCGATTGAACTGATTATAAAATCTGTTTGTTTTTACAGAGGGGGCAAGTACTTTTTTTCTAGATTTAAATATAATTTTGAAAGTGAGGCAATGATGAAATGACAGTTGTATTTCTGATGTGTCCCTTGGCATCACCAAGTAATATTTGGATATTTAAGAGGAAACTGTCTCTTTTTGTCTAATTGACACCCCACCTTCTCTCTTCTTGCCTTGTGAAAGTCTGGTAAGCAAGCAATTGTAAGGCCTTGGGCTGTCCCACTGACCTGCATTTAGACAATTAAAGGAAAAAAAAAACCAACATGTTTGTGAACCACAATATAAGTAATTACTTGAAAGACAGCATGATTTGACAGAAAAGGAGAGAAGAGACCAAACCTGGTCTCAGTTGTCACCACCTAGCTGTGCTCACCAGTGAGTTATTTAACCTTTTCGTGTCTGTTTTCTCTTTTCAAAATGAGGATAGCTGAAATAGGTATTGTCACTGGTCTCTTAGAGTCCAGTTTTGAAAATCCTTGAGTTCTTTCTTTTTCTTGGTTTTTCAGAGAGAGAGTTTTTCTTTATAGCCTTGGCTATCTTGGACTGGAATTGTAGACCAGGCTGGCCTCAAACATACGGAGATCTGCCTGCCTCTGCCCCCTGAGTGGGATTAAAGGAGTGTGCCACCATGTCCAGCTTCCTTAAATTCTTATCATGGTCAGAACAGACTGCTTGTCATTTTAGGGATAAGATGAATAAAGCACCTCTCTCTGGAGATTTAATATGCATTACTCTTTTCTATTTCCTTTTTCCCTCTTTCTACTTTTGTTGTGATGCTGGGGAGCCTTTTTTTTTTTTTTTAATAGAAGATGAGCTCAGCTGTTTGGTAGTGGTTGTCTGCATAGCATGTGTAAGGCCATGGCTTCATCCACTGGAACATACAAACATATGTACCATATTGGTATGGTTTTGATGAGGATATACAAGGTTCTTGATTCCATATCTAATCTTACAAACTATAATAAAAAGAATATTGACCCAACTGTGGTAGTGTATGCTTGAGCCCAGGAGTTCAAAACCAGCCTGGACAACATAGCAAAATCATGTCTTTAAGAAATTGTTGCATTACATTTGCAGAATGAGGAGAGGTTTGTGCTATGCCTTCATGGAGGCAAGGCTTTGGGGTAGGTATGGAAGGAAAGGTAGGGCATGTGAGGTCAAAGGGGAAACATGAAAAGAAAGAAAAAAAAATGCAAACCTCTTCAGATATATCTATTCACTTGGACATGGGGATTCAGAGGCAGGAGAGTATTTCCCATGTTGGTTAGACTTCAGTCTTAAGAACAGGCCTCCCCAATTCTTGGGTGGTAGCACAGGCAGAGCAGTAAATAACTGTCATGTTTCTCTGGGGTAAAGAGATGAGCTGCTCACATCTAATAGGAACTGGTTTGGGGGTGCACTTCTGACCTGAAGCAGCTGGAATGAACCAGTCTGGAGCTCCGCCCAATACCTCTCAGAGCTGTCCCCCAACCACTGAGGAGATAAGTATCTAACAAAAGCAGAATCTGCTGAACATCAGCCTGGCCCTGCCAAGAGGACAGTAAGGACTTCCTTGTCAGTAGGAAATGAGGAGCCATTGAAGATTCCATTGTTAGCTACAAATTGGAGGGTGTTGAGTTCAGTTGAAAGATAGCTTCCTTTAGAAGATGCTAATCCTTTCTATTTAATTTAATTTTTTTTTTTTTTTTTTTTTTTTTTTTACTTTTCAGTGACCTTTCACAGGTTTTTGAGCCATATCCACTTAGAACTCGGAGGAACAGTACAACAATTATGAGCCATCATAGCTTGGTAAGTATCAAAGTAAGTGTTTGGAGTGATTTAGATTGGAGAATAATCCTTTCAAAGTTAGCTCTTTCTGGGAAATTATGTGCTGTGTACAATTGTTTTTTGAAATAGATTTTGTTTACCCATCTTGCTTACTAGTTTTGCCAGTGCCATTCAGCATTTAGGAGAGATGGGGGGTGAAGGGGCTTAAAATTGCTTTCACTGCTGTAGGACTGTATTTGTTTAAAAAAATTCATTGTTATTTATTTCTACTTGCGTCACAGTTGTGAGGTAAATCAGAAATAACCTCCAAATATAGCCGAGAACAGTGGTCTTTATTTCCCCTAGGATGTAAAAAAAAATCAAATCGTAGCAGAGTGTTTACAGTATTCATCTGTCAGATAATACTGGCTGTCTGAAATAAAGACCCCTGTAAAATATGTGTTTATATTCCCAGAAGAGTGGATGAGTGTGTATTTTTCTCTGTAGCCAGAGCTGTTGGGAATCACCAGATTAGATAGCTGCACTGGGGAAAATTATGAAGAGGTTTTTATATAGTAGCACTTCACATGCAGAGCTCACTCACCCGGCAGCTTTAGACATCTGAGATGTAAGCACACAGACCTCTAAATGGCTGAACTAGATTTCCATAGTCTGTGCACAAAGGTTCATCCATTTATTTATAGGACAGCCTCTCTGACCTCTGAATCATCTAAATTTTATACACAATTATAATAAGCTTCCAACTCAGTGGGTGTGTTAGAGGCAGCAAATCAGAAGGGGTACGTTTGGGTTAAAGGTCTGCTAATACTTGCTAGCAAGAGAGGAGAGGAAGAAGCAGAAAAGTAGACAGTTTTTTTTCCCTTCCCAATAAGTTTGTGGTTTGGCACAAAGGCTAAGAGCCTGTTGCTAGTCCCGAGAGTGTCACTAGTATAGAAGCATACGGTAATGTTCTTAAGAAACCCTGGTCATTAACCTTTTCTTAATTTCCACTAACATCCACACTTTGATGGTATTTTACATGTTACAAAGTACTTTCACTCATTTAGTTCATGTAGCAGTCTCCATGAAGCAGAAAAGAGACAAGGCAAAGGGTATTTTTTTTTCCCCAATTAGAAGCAGCGGCAAGCGACTCAGATGACATAAGTGACTTGCTTAGGATCACAGAGTAGTAAGTGGCAGAGCTGGCACTAGAATAGAGATCTTCCAGTGCCATTCTGTTTGGTATAATCTGTCTGAGAAAGGGGATACTAGAGCACATTTTAGAAAGATTTCCATTGAACTGGCTAAAAATACTCAAAGAGGGGATGTTAGCTATCTGGAGGTTTGATTCGCTTCACCTACTTCCCTGACGATACTTGAAAATACAACTATTTATTTTTGTTGGGTATATGAAAAATGTTCTTACGTGTTTTACAGCTGTGCTCCTGATAAGAGCAGCATAGTAAAGACAGGAAAAGCGAATTTGCCTCTCTACACTTCACTTAGCTCTTTTATAAGAGGTGAAGATTCTTATCCACTCTGGTCTAGGCTCATCTGTCATTCCTTGCCATCCTTTGCTCTGGCTGCCTCATTTTCTAAAGGGCCATGGAAATTCCCTGATCCTTATGCTACCCATCAACCCCATCCTCCTTTCTAGCTTTTTTCGCTTCATCGAAACCTACTTTAATCCTAATATCTCCTTTGTACACGTTCCCACACTGTCATGATATTAATGACACTCTCTACTAACATTACAGCATCCTGTGGAAATCTTAATGTGATCATCTGTGTCCCATAGTAACAAGCAAAGAGTAAAATATTGGCAGATGAAATGGAAAGGATGAGATGGTAAAAAGACAAGCAAAGTTAGGATGTCCGTAATTTGCCAACTGATTAGATATATGTGAATCATCTAAAATTTATACACAATTATATTAAGCTTGAAACTCAGTGTTGTGTTAGAGGCAGCAAATCAGAAGGGGTAGTTTTGGATTAAAGGTCTGCTAATACTTGCTAGCAGTTGATTTGGAGGCCAAATTACATTCCTTCAAAATAATCATAGTCCTGTCACAAAGTGTAAGATATGATTCAAACCAATGGATTTTACAGGATTGTAACAGTCGTAATGTAAATAATTACTGTTTTCTCTAAGAAATACAAATGAATGTGTAATGATATAAAACCAAACAAAACAATTATTCTGCTTAAGCAGCCTTACACTATTCCAACTTTTTAAAATAACAATTCTGGAAGAAGGACTCCAACTGACTGAAATTGAGTTTCATTATGACCAGGAGAGTGGTGTTCCCTTGAGTACATGGAGAGAAGTTAAAAAGATAGGTAGTTTGAAAGGGAAGATTAATTCTTTCCAGGGGCTAAGGCACCACTGATTCCATGTTGTTCTCAAAAGATACAGTCTAAATCTTTTGTTGTTGTTGTTTAGTCTCTGCCAGCTTCCTGTTTACCACTGTTCACTTGCAGCCAAAGATACTTCTTTTTTCACTGATAAAGAAGATACCTATTTATTAATTTTTAAAATTATTATTATTTATTTTTTGAGACAAGGTTTCTCTGTGTAGTCTTGGCTTTCCTGGACTCACTTTGTAGACCAGGCTGGCCTCAAAATCACAGTGATCCATCCACCTACCTCTGTCTCTCTGAGTGCTGGAATTACAGGCATACACCACCTTGCCTAGTTAAATATTTTTAATGTGTGTTTGAGTATGCATGAATATATTTGTACCGTGTGCATTCAGGAGCTCACAGGGCCCAGAAGACACTGTCAGATCCCTTGGAATTGGAGTTACAGGCAGTTGTGAGCTGCCATGTGAGTTCTGGGAATTGAACCCAGGCTCTCTATAAGAGCAGTAGCTCTTCACTGCTGAGCCAGCTCTCCAGGCTTGACACCTGTCTTTTATGATACCATTTTTTTTTCTCCTTAAAACGCCTTTGTCTTCTTCACATATGGCACTTCTCCCTGGTGATTAATCCATTTTTCTGATGCCCCTGTCACTTTGTATAGCTATTGTCTCCTATCTTAAACTAGGAGTCTCAGTCAGTCTCTTCAACGTCTTCCTCTCTAAGTCTTTGGCTCCCACTTTCTTTTTACACACATTGTAAGGGACAATGACACTTTTTCATGTAGGTTTGTTCTTTCTTTCCCTTCCCTGATCTTTTTCAAAGAATAATCTAGCCTCTAGCTCTTTCTCTCTTAATTTCTAGCTAGCTGGCAATCTTGCTGCTTCTACCACAACTCCATTAAAGGCTGTCCTTGAAAATGTCACTAATGCCCACTTAATTGTCAGTGTCAGGGGCCTCGTTTCTTATCCCACTTGAGCTCTTTGCTTTCCTTAACACTATTATCCATCATCTCCCTAAAGCTCTGGGAAAATTCTTTTTTCAGCTGATAAATTATTCTTGTTTCTGGTTCTAGACATAGTTCTGTTCCTATCTCTTACTGTTTCTGAGCCACTTTGTAGCCTTGTCTAAGACTGAGAAGTTGTATATTTTATCAGTATTGCATTTAAATTTCTGACTGCCTCCTCACTTTGGCTTCGTTGATAATTTCACTACCTTTTGGCATTCTTTAGTTTTCTAACTGACACATATGTGTATGCATTCACACCTAGCTTGTCATCAGCCTGTTAGAGCAACCCTGACTTATTTCCTTACCTGGTAGTTTATAATTTTTCAATGAACTCATTAAAAGTTCGGTAGTAAGCATGTATTGTTTCCATAATGCAAAGAAAAGGACTTTGTAAAAGATTTTACTGAAAAGGTGGTTAATGGGAGCGTGCGTGTCTTTTAAGGTAAAATCATGTCTTAGTGGATAATTTTACTTGAATTAGCTTTCGCCTAAAAAGCCCATTGTTATACAGCTCACTACATTATAATTGTTTCTTTCTAAGTGGTAATAGCATACGGCGTCTTAAGCAGAATAATTGTCCTGTTTGATTTTATACTCTAACAAGTTCATTTGTATTTCTTAGGAGAAAATAGTAATTATTTACATTACAACTGTAACAATCTTGTAAGATCCAGTGGTTTGAAATTATATCTTACATTCTGTGACAGGATTGTGATTATTTTGAAGGAACATAATTTAGCCTCCAAATCATTTCAGTTTTGTGATGTTAAAAAAAAAATGAGGACTTGAGACCATTGATAGAGGCCTTGCCAGGCATGTATGAAGCCCTAGGTTCATCCCCAGTACTCCATACATCAGATATTCGAAAGGTAGAGACTGGAGGATCAGAAATGCAAGGTCATCCTCAGCTAAACAACGTGCTCAAAGCCAGCCTGGGCTACATGAAATCATGTCTGAAAGAGAAGAAGAAAAATGAAGTAAGGGAAATCAGCAATTCTTTTGAAGTTTAACCTTGCCTTCTTTCATTGATCCTAGGGCACTGTGTATGTGAAGCAAACACTCTCCCCCTAATGCTGATCTTCCTTTAACTATTATGGTTTGTGGTGGTGGTATTAGAAATCAAACCTTAGAGATGATTAGAAATCAAACCTTAGAGATGGAAGCAAAATGTCCTTGTTGCCATTTTAAAGTACTTCCGAGAACATTAATCATATACAAAATGTGGTGTTGGGTTTTGGGCCTATCTTTACTCATTAGTGCATCAGTAATAAAAATTGATCGCACTGGCGTCTTTCTTTCCTATTTCACATTGCTCCTTATTTCAGATTAGTGGGATAATGAATACTTCTAAGGCCCAGTCCTTTTCCCCTTAAGTTTGCACAGCTTTCCATTCATTTGGGAAAAGTGCTAAAGTCAATGCTGGTCTAGCAGCAGATGGTGCCTCGAGGTTGGACACCTGGTGTGCTTTCTAAAGAAAATGCATGCATTGCCTCTAGTGTATTAATGTTTAGGGGGTTGCAGAGCTAAGTTTCTAAGAATATGAAGAATTCTGTAGGAAAAGGTTGCACACTAACACTGACAGTGACTGATGCTTTGTGATGCATGAAATAGTAAATGTTTTCTTCCTAGTTGCTGCCACCTTCACCTAATCCTATTCCTAGTAGCAGAGCATGCCAAATGTAAAGGGTCATTTTGTCTTACTAGCCCAGGTCAGAAAGTTAAGACTAAAATCTTATATATTTATATTTATATAACTGGAGGGTGCATCTCCAGTTAGCTGCAAACACTGCACTTCTGAGTGTACTTTAAAATCCTGGCATGGCTGACAATCTGAGGATGAGAGTTCTGATCACCTGGGATTATTCCAGTTTGATATGAAATAGACACATGGTGGAAAATTATGATTTAGCACCTATGCTTATCCTTATAGGAAGAAGGCCTGGATATGATGAACAGAGAAACTTCAAATGAAAGGTTAGTGGTTAGCAAGGGCAGGGCCTAGCCCCTCATGTGCCTTGTTTGTAAGCCCTGGTGATTCTTTCTCTTTTCTTTAGGGAAGCACAAGCAGGGATGCAGATAAGCCAGTCATGGGATGAAAGCTTGAGCCTGGTAAAGTATTCTGATGTGGGCTTGTTCTGTAACTTTCCAGACATCTTTGTTTTGTTCAGCTGACTTGGTTGATTCTTTCATAGACCAATATCCTTCTTCCTTCTAGACTGATTCTTAGATCTCTGCTCTATCAGCAAAATGTTTGAATGTATCCATATGTACTCTTCAGAGTGTGGGGATGTTATTGTAGTAGCGAATAAGAGCTGTGATATGCTGAATGAGGATAACACTTTATATTTACAGAGTGATAGTGATTTTGACAAGCCAGAGAAATTATATTCTCCAAAGAGAATTGACTTCACTCCAGTTTCTCCAGCGCCTTCCCCAACCAGAGGATTTGGAAAGGTATGATGTCAATAAGATATTAACTGTCCTTTTTCTCAGCAAGCTGTTTATATAAACACAATCCAATTCACTTTCCAAGTCTCCATAGACTTGAAGAAGAAATGAAAACCTATGATAGTAAATTGGGAAAATGTCATATGTATGAAGCACTTGCATAGCTATACTGTTGCTGTCATATTTCAAAAGAACCTTTTGAAAAATAATAGAACGAAAGAAAACCTTTGAAAAACTGGACTGCTGTAACTGTTTTAATAGTACATGTGCTTTCTCTAGCCGTGCTTTTCGCCCTCCTTGCAAATGTTTGTGGGTAGCAGTGGTATGCCATCAAGTCCTGTTTCGGATCCAAGACAATTTTCAAGGTAAGTTAATTTGAATGTTAAATGTGGGGAATGCAAAGATGATTCAGTGGGTAATACTACTTGCTCTATAAGCATGAGGATCTGAAATTAGATCCCAGAGCCCACATGAAAAGCTCACTGTGGCCACTTGCCTCTATAGCCCCAGCACCTGGGGAGGTGGGTCTAGGAGGATAGCTCAGGCATACTAGCTGCTTAGCCTAGCTGCAGATTTAATGAGAGACCTTATCTCACAAGAATAAGCTGGGGAGGGACAGACCATCCTTCTCTGGCCTGCAAGAGCTTTCCCACACAAGCACATGAACTTGCACATGCACATGCATATGCATGCATAACACACACATGCACACCACACATACACACACAGAGCTAAATGTGGCTAGAGTATCACTCATTACTTTTTTCCTCAAATTAATTTTATTATGGAATTTTTTAGGCATACATCAAACTTGCTAGGACTTCATAATGAACAACCATATGCTTACCACTTATGTTGAGGCATTAACATTTTACAGAATTCTGTGTTTGAGACTTAATGCTGATTGATGGATTGATTGTGAAACTGAGGCTTGAACCAAGAGCCTTGTGAATCCTAGGCAAACACTCCACCACTAAGCTACATCCCCAGCACCTAAACACTTGCATATACTAACACTATTTTAAAGATAAAAGATTATAGATCAAAATGCAAATAACTTTAAAATAAGACTGTTTTCCTTGAGTAATTGTGGGTATTCTGTCTTATAGAATATTGTTAAATGGCTGAAAATGCCATGTTTTGTTTATATCACCATATGCTGACTCAAATCACCCTACAATACAAGTACTTTGTGTTTCTGTCTATATAACTATCCATGTTACTTACTTGGTGGGATGTAATGCTGTTTGTTAGTCTTTTTCATCTTGGAAGCACTTCATATCATCGTGTTTGTTTATTTGTCAAAGCAGGAGGAGTCACAGTCCAGTCAAGTGCATTAGGCCCAGTGTTCTTGGTCCTCTTAAGAGAAAAGGTATGTGGCATCTATGATTGACAGCATTGTGTTACCTACTCTAAACCAGCCACAATTATAGATTTTAGATGTTCTTATCACACACCATGAAAAAGGTTAAGTGGATGTAGTAATAGATGTGTCTGTATATATGTGAGGTTATGACATTGTACACCTTACTAAGTATGTATACATTCATTTTAAGTAATACGGGGGAAAGGACTCATCACACTTCTGGTATTGAATTTAGCTAAGCTTGAATTAGAAGCTAGCGTTCTTGTCTAACGTAAATTCACAGAATTCTTTTTTTTTTCTCAAGAAATGTTTGATATTTTCAGCATGCTCTAATGAATTCTAAGTTACATACATTAACTATTTTATTTTGTGTATATTTTTATAATTCATGTATGAACCATATTGTACTCATATTATCAATATATTAAAAATTAATTCCCATATTAGACATATAATATAGAATAATCAGACTAAAATCTGTACACCTAAAGAAGCTAATCAAGAAGGAGAACCCTGGGTAAGATGTTCAATCCTCTCTCAGAAAGGCAAATGGGATAGACATTGGAAGAGGGAGAAAACAGGGAACAAGACAGGAGCCTACCACAGAGGGCCTCTGAAAGACTCTACCCAGCAGGGTCATAAAGCAGATGCTGAGACTCATAGCCCAACTTTGGGCAGAGTGCAGGGAATCTTATGAAATTATGGGGAAATAGAAAGACCTGGATGGAACAGGAGCTCCACAAGGAGAGCAACAGAACCAAAAAAATTTGGGCACAGGGGTCTTTTCTGAGACTGATACTCCAACCAAGGACCATGCATGGAGATAACCTAGAACCACTGATGTAGCCCATGGCAGTTCAGTTTCCGAGTGGGTTCCCTAATAATGGGAACAGGGACTATCTCTGACATAAACTCAGTGGCTGGCTCTTTGATCACCTCCCCCTGAGGGGGAAGCGGCCTTACCAGGGCACAGAGGAAGACAATGCATCCAGTCCTGTTGAGACCTGATAGACTAGGATCAGAAGGAAGGGAGGAGGACCTCCCCTATCAGTGGACTGGGAAGAGGGAAGGGAAGGACATGGGAGGAGAAGAGGGAGGGAGGGAGGGCAGTATTGGGAGGGAACGAGGGATGGGCCTACAGCTGGGATACAAAGTGAACAAATTGTAATAAATTTTAAAAAAATTTAAAAACTAATTCCTCTCACAAAAAAGAGATGCACAACTTGACTTATGTGCAGAAATCTATGCTGGCATAGAATACAGATCTGTAAAAATGGAGTTTGCTCAGATGGCATTCACTTTCCCATCAGCAAATTATGCCTCAGCAAAGTAAAGTTGTCAAATGGTCAAGTCTGTAATGTTTTTGATGTGTGTTGGTGCTCTCTCAGTAGCTTATTTTGAAGCACAATGCACTAAAGTTTTTTTTCACTCAGCAGCAGTTTTAGATGTTTATGTAAGGCCCTTGATAGCATGTGTTTCTTTAAACATGGCCAGGATATTTGATACTGGATTTAGTCATTATTACTGGCAATTTGACTGTATGATTAGAAGTGGCAGGTGCCATTTTATTTTGCTTTTTATTATTAGTGTTTTTTTTTTTTGTTTTTGATACAGAGTCTTATGTCACAGAGGCTGGCAAAAAACTCACTACCTAGCGAAGACTAGCCTTGAACTCTTGGTCATTTTGCTTCTACCACCCAAGTGTTGTGATTATAAGTATGCTCTATCACCTGTCTATAGTTTTTTTTTCTTTTTTTTTTTTTTGATCAGCATCGAAAGTAATGTGTTTATGGCATTTTTACATGCTTAGTTTATGTTGATCCTCCTCTACTATCCTACCTCATCCCGTTCTCCTTTTGCCCTCTTTCAATTATTTATAGTTTTTAACCTCCTTTTTCTCTCTACTTAAGACATCTTTTTCCCTTCTTATACCTTTTTCTAGTTTTAAGTTCTATACTCACAACCATACTCACATCCACATAAATGCACATATATAAAAATTTAACCTGGGATCTATACACTTTATAGGCCTACATAGTTACTTATACATATTTTTTAAAGATTTATTTTTATTTTGTGTGTATGAGTGTTTTGCCTGTATATATGTGCCTCACAAGCATACAGTGCCTGTGGAGAGCAGAAGAAATTGTAGGATCCCCTGGGACTGGGGTTTGAGTGAATGCCTGTGAGTTACGTGGGGTGCTGAGAAACTGAACTGGGTCCTTTGCTAGTGCTGCAAATGCTCTTAACCACAGAGCATCTCTCCAGCACCCACCTACCTAATGTTGTAAAGGTGTCAAAAAATAACAGCGTCTTTAGCAAGTGATACTGGGAAAATTGGATGGCCACATGCAGAAGAATGAAACTAGGTCCATATCTTTCATCCTGCACTTGCACATACGCCATACACACACACACACACACACACACACACACACACACACACACACACA